AAGAAAAAAAAAAAGAAGAAAGGGATGGCCTTCGTCCCCTTCCCAATGTAATCTTCTCCCTTTTCTATACGGTTTTCTTCCAATGGGCCGGCCGGAAGTTTAATCAAGGGATGGTGATGAGCCGTAGAATTTTGTGAATGTTATAAGTTTTCTACCATATAGTATAAAATAATGACGTATATATACATCATTACTATACTACACATGTTATATACAATCATTACAATAAAATAAATTAATTTATAATGTCATATTAAAAAGAGTTGGGCCGAATCATGATRCAGAATCTCTAAAAGGGAGAAATTATTGTTTTGTATAAACATGAAATCGTAAGGCAGCCATAGCTAATTTTGTTCAAGGATGAACAGATGATAACAACAATCACTCAATGGTTCAATTAGTTAAAAATATCTCTCTTTAAAGATGGAATGTGTATAGTTTTTGTGATATGGTTTGGTAGTGATGAGACTAGAAAAGCATATTATCTCTTTTCTTAACACTTTTCTTAAACTTCATATGAAACTTTTTTTTGTTTTTTTTTTTAAGTTGAACAACAAATCTAAATATTAAGAGGTAAGTTATATTTATCCATTAAGTTATGTTTAGAGGAGCAAAAATAGTGTGAGGCTGTGATTTAATTACGAATGGTAAAATATTAGAAGACCTCTTTTTCTTTCTTCTTTAAAGAGATCTCTTTTGTTCTATTTCGTTGTCGACTTGTCGTTGTGGAATTACATTACATGTCACATCCGACTAGATGATTCCCTTTGGGCCTACTCATTCCAACTTTATACAATTTATCTAATATTGGTTATTATTTATTAGTAATTTTGAATTCTTTTTTATTTTCTATTTTGTCTTTTTCCAACTGTTATATTTATTCTTTCTTCCTTTGAGTTTAAAAAAAAACACTAGTTGACTTGAGAAGGGAGCAGACGATGCACGAAGACGAGGAAAACGAATTCAAATTGAATCAAATCGAGTTATAAATCGACTCGCACAAATGACCTTCTAATTTATACATATTACTCGTAGTTGATAGCTACATATCGGATTTCTATTAAATCTTTAATAGTAGCAAATTTAATTAATTTATCTTCGAATACTTCGAAGTCTTCTATTTGTCATTTGCAAAGGTCTTCCAATTCTTCTATTCCTCGTCCTAGTATTTAAAGTCTTATTTGCTCTATGAATTATCCAAGTCAATTGGAACGTTTGAGTCAAAATCTTTTGGAAAATTTTAGTTTCCATAAATTTTAAGTTATTGTCTCCAAGGGTGAATACTTTCTTATTTATTTCTAATAATGAATCTTTTCAAACCTATACGTGTTTAAATAATTAAATCATATTGGGTCAACCAACCCACTTTTAATTTCTTTCGCTAACATGAGTTTAGTTTAGTAATAATTAGTACCTATTTTTGATTAAGAGTTCATGAGTTTAAAAATCTCGACCCCTATTTGTTGTACTAAAAAAAATAGTTTCATTCATCCATATACTTAAGGATTTGTAAAAAGTGCAAACAAAGTCTGACATTAACCAGAGAAGAGAGTGATCCATAATATATAGATAATGACAATTATCTCTATTGGTATAAGGTCTTTTGGATGAAACCAAAAGCAAATATGTCACGATTATGCCTAAAGTAGTGTGTAATAATACGTGGAAGCAGATAATATTATAGTAGCTTATGAAATATTGCAAGATTTTTTTTATTATTAATATGTCAGAGTATATTATTGATATACTCGATATTCGGTATATTAGTTATATTGATATACATAATACTAATTATATCATTAATATAGACGACGTACCTAACATGAAGTATATTGATCACACTAATTATATAGATTATTAGGTACTTTATAGATATATCACTAATAAATATTCTACATATTAAAAATTTTGATAAAAGTAATATTGCATATTTCTTATCAATATATCAAGTGTATCAATTAGGTACTAATTCATTTTTTTGCATGAAGTATATTGATCACATTAAATATATGAATGATATATTTCATATATATAGTAGGCATATCACTGATATATATTCTTCATATTGAATATTTTGATTTTTTATGTAACATGATTCTCGTATTTCATCATAGATATATCACTTATATAACTTATGTACCTAATATGACTTAAGTGATATACTTCGTGCTAAACATAAAAACCTTCCTTTTTAGGTATATGATTAATATAACTTATATACCTAATGTGAAGTATATAAGTGGTATACTTGATATTAGATATATCAATACGGAGTTTTTCTCATTTTATAAAATATAACTGATTTTGAAATGTAATGTTAGTTTTTGTTGTTGCAGTTAATGAAAAATTAACGGCATGTACTATTTTGAATCAAGTAATAAAAGTAATTGTTGGCAACATATATATAACTTATCGTTAATTGATATATACTCGTTCTCTTAAAATTGGAGGTTCAAACCTCGACTCCCAATTTATTATACTAAAAAAATAAAAATTAACAATAAAAAACTGAGTCGTTATATTTGCAATTATTATTATTATATATTGCTAGATTTGAAGGGGGTTTTATCTTTTTATAGACAAATTGATTATAAAAAATTAACTTCAAGAATTATTAATTACTTTATACTGCCTATACATACAAATAATATAAAATTAATTTTGAAATGTCATGTTAGCTTTTTGTTGCTGGAGGCTGTAGCTAATGAAAAATTTACGGCCTATACTATTTTGAACCATTTTCTAAAACCTTTATTGATATAAATTGTAGGATGTCGAAACTTGCCAACTAAAATCAAATATGTACAAGATATTATACAATAAATTAATTAATTTTTATTTTTAATATTAAAATTTGAACGAAGACGGAAATTTGATATTTAAAAGAGGTTATTAGTACTCGTGGACTAATTTGTTAGCTTTTATAAAATAATTGATGTTTATTTCAATATGAAATAATTTATCAAATAAAATTGGATTATTTTTTTAAAAAAATTGAGTTAAATGAGATTTAGGAGAGCTATATGTTGAAGTTGGCCACAAATTTGAATGTACCTCAGTATTTTAAGTCTTAAAACGAAAACGGCTTTTCTATAGGAAAATTGATCGTACACGTGAACGATCGAGATTTAACTTCCACATTGGTATATGAATCAAACGGTTGGAGAGGAGAATAGAGAGCTTTAACACAACATACGACACAAGTCGTCGTCGCCCCATTGCCATTATCCAACGAAAAAGTTCTGAAAACCCTAGCTCCCTTCAGTTCCCGCTGCACAGTCTCAGCAGTCGCCAGCTTGCTGAAGAGAATAGATTCTACACCAAGAACTTCAATGGTATCTCTCTCCCTCTCCATCTCTCTCTGCGTCCAATGGCGTAGATTAATCTCTGAACTGCATTTTATATGTATTACAGGGGATTTGATCTGGTAACAGGAAGCAAAAGCAAGAACGCCGAGAGACCACACGTCCGCACCAAGTCCGGCCTCAAGCTTCTCGTCAAGGTAGGTTCTTCTAATAATCACCGTTGCCGCTGAACTCATAGCAGGATTGAACACTTGCATTTACGGTCATCTTTTCTCTGGTGAAGTTAATTTATGTGCTTTTGTTTATGACTTAATAATTAGTAATTTGAATACAGTTATCGTTACTCGAGTGGATTTCTGAATCTAATTCTCAAAGAATCAACCTGAACTCTAGCCATTTATGTATTTTACTTCTTTTTCTTTTTAATTTTATTTAACAGCTTATAGTAAAATAGAAATCGGTTATGTTCTGCTCCTATATTTTCCACTCTCAAAATTTACTACATCTCTCGTGTATATTCTTTATGCGATTGATTATTTCAACAGAAATAAACAAATATAGAAGGTTTGATCATTTTAGTTCAACATTATGTTTACGAATATCCAACACTGTGTAATCTGTCTAACAAATGTTGAATATTCTTATCAAAAGTTTGCTGCTTATCTAATGTACTAAATAAATGTCAGATATATTACCCAAACTAAAGTATCCGTAGTTTATAGATCCTTACACTAGCTCCTTTTCGTAGTATGTCATTAAGTTATAAATATACTAGACATTAGAAGCAACTGGCTTCTATCTAACAGAGACATTGTTTTTTATTAACACCGTCCCTGGAACCCTTTGTCAATATTTGTAAATAAGAAAAGCTTATTTCTTTTTATTATAGATAAATTCACTGAATGCTCATTAATTACCCAGTCTTGGAACTTAAATGAATTTGAAAGAATGATAAAAATGCTTTGTTTGAAGACTATGTATGTATCTTCTATAAAAAATCAAAAAAAAAAAAAATTGATGTGTCAACATCTTGTCTACTTGCTGTACCTTCGGTCCTCACTTCTTAACAGTTTTGCTGCAAATGAAGAAGAAAAATGAATGTGAAGACTGCTAACTTCCAGATATTTCCACTTCTTTGACTTGTCATTTTTCCCCCTGCACATTAATATTTTACCGCTGTATTTAACTTAGTAAACTAATTGAGACTTTAAAGTTTTATTTTTATCCAATTGAAGGACTAAGGGGATAAATAAATTCTGCAGATGAAAAACAAAAAGTTGAAGACTGCTGCAACTTCCAATTCTAGCATTGATCTGAAGTCCATAATTCATCAGCATGCTCTGTTTTTTGACAAGTTAGTGGAGCTAATCCCTGCAAGGTTCTATTTACCCAATGATGAAAAGGAGAAACCTTGGTTTCAGGGCCTTAGCAAGACTGAGAAGGTTTTGGCTAAGAAGGAATCGAAAGAAAACCTTAAGAAAGCCCGAAGAGATCGCATGGATCCGGAAAAGTCTTCCAAATCAACCCTTGATTTGCTCAAGCAAAGCTTGGAAAAGAGCAAGTTAAATGATGAAAGTGATGATGATAACGAAATGGATGTCAAGCCAATGACATCTGGGATGGATGGTGATGATCCGTCAGTGACATATGAAGAACTTCGACAACGTCTCCATCGAAAGATTGAAGAGTTCCGATCAAATAGAAATACAGGATGCTCAAATAGGGAAAAGAAGAGGAGTGAAAGAAATGAAAGGAGGGAGCTTGTTCAAAAGAAACGCAAGAAAGAGAATGGGCCTGAGGAAAAGAAATCAGCAAATTACCACTCAACAGATGAAGTGGAGAAGAATGTAGTTGAAGCCTCTAAAGAACTTGCCTTCAGTCATGTCAAACTCGGGACTGAAGAAGAGCATGGGAAGAAAAAGAAGAGAAAGCTCTCCAAGTTGGAGGAGCTGGAACGTGCTAAAAAGTTGGATGAAGCAAAGAAAGATCCTGAGAAGGGCGAAACAATCTCGAAGAAGCATTCTTGGAAAGCGGCAACAAGTAGAGCTGCTGGGATTAAGGTTCATGATGATCCAAAACTCCTGATGAAGAGCTTGAAGAAGGAAAAGAAACAGCAGCTGAAGAATGTTGAGAAATGGAAAGAGAGGATTGAAACCACCCAGAAGATGAAAGCAGAAAGACAACAAAAGAGGTCAGAAAACATATCACAGAAAATTCATGATAAGAAGATGAAACGAATTGCAAAGAGGGAGAAGAAACTTATGCGCCCTGGGTTCGAAGGTCGCAAGGAAGGTTTCATTAACGAAGGCAGGTTTCATTAACGAAGGCGCAACATAAAGTGAAGCTGGTTTTACCTTTTCATTGCAATTGCATCCCCGGTTTGCTCTCATAGCTTTGAGGAAATGCTACTAAACATGTGTTTCTTTATCAGTAAAAACAATAGAGAATGAAAAGCAAGAAATAGAATAGCTATCAAATATCTGGTGTTTTTCACTCCAAAAAGAACGAAGACTGAGAAGCCAAAAAGGATGAAACAGAGGTATTACCAAGTATTTGTGCCGTCTCTCTCTAAAATATAGATTTCCGTCGATCAAACTACAAATATGAAGACATTTGTCTTCGGATCTTCAATGCTTTAACCTTGTCCATAAAGACTTCTTAGAAAAACTTTCAGAAGATTATTTTTCAACAATCGTCTTTCATCTTTTACCTTCTGTTTGTTTTATGGGAGTTAAATAACTTCCCAACAGAATGCTTCACTGAATAAAATTCATTTGCATCTCTAGCCCTAGTTAAATCAAATTGTTGATGTAACTTCCTTTTTTACATATGTTATAGCTTATTCAAGTATAGCACTGTGCATTAATTTTGTGCTAGCGCAGACCAGGATATGTTTAATTATATCTTTTATCGAAGATAGCTGGGTGAATGGTAGAAACAAGCACACTTCCCATATGTTGTTTGGCTGTTTGTTTTGTACAAAAGTTTTAAGAATTGTGTAATATTTAAGGAATGATGCAATAGTCCATGTTTGTAATACGAGGAATGTGTTTAATATTAAGATCCTAGATTTCAAATGTCCCCACATGTCTTCCCTTTTTCGAGACGTAATCATTTATATAATAAAAAGTATTTTAGGCTGATAAATTAAGTCTTAAATCTTATTATTATTATTTATATTTATGTTGGTGATAGTTTTTGTTAAAATCATTTATATTTTCCAGGTGTTTTGGAAATATCATTTGATTTCTTATATTGGTAGTAACCCTTTTAATTTTTACGGAAATATCAACACGACATATATGTGGAATATTTTCGAAAAATTGAACGTCAGAAAGAGGACACAATCTGTTCTGTTGGAACCCCCTCTCTCTCATTAGTAACAGTGGCTGATCCAAAAAACTGTATTGAAGAATTTGGGCCAGAAATCAGGGCTCATTTCCTAAAGGAAGATGGGCTTGAATTTAGAAAATCGAAAAGATTTGGGCCATGGTCCAAGCAAATCTATATTTATTGGATGACGCCATAATTCTGACACTGAACCGCGGGGGTTGGTCAAGGTCTTACGACAGGCACACCGACCACGACAAGCATGAAAAGAAGGAACACGTGGCAGTAGCGTTAAACACGGGGAAGGTACCCCCAACCCCATAAATATGAAGAATTAAGTGAGGGTTAATAAAGTTTTGATTTAATAATGTAATTAATTATTGAGGAACAGCGTGCAATTTTCAGCGTATTAATGGGGGAAGGGAAGGGCGGTGCTAAATTAACAGGGACACGTTTAAAGAAGAATTAGATGCTGTCTCTCTTGCTGCCACGTGTTCTTTTTCAGATCTTATAAAATCTCCTCGTCTCAGGCCACTACCATTCGGGATTTCGTTTTTTGTCCTTCTTCGATTCCTCACACTTGTACCCAACGCCCACTTGATTTTTCTGCTTTCATTTTCGTTTCGAAACAAAGAAAATGAGTAAATTTTGGACCCTGATCACCCAGCTTCATACTCTTTCTGGGTGGGTATAAATCCAATCTCTCTGTAGCTGAAAAACAATACAGCGTTGGTGTCGTATTTGTGTGGCTAATTAATTTTATTTTTGTTTTTGATGGTTCCCGCAGGCCAGTTTTGATGCTGCTGTATCCCCTGTAAGTTCGTCTCTCTCTTTCTCTGTGTGATGCTCTGTTTTATTTTCCCAATATTAACTTGAATGATATGCAACATAACAGATACGCGTCGGTGGTGGCAATCGAAAGCACGTCCAAATTGGACGATGAGCAGTGGTTGGCTTACTGGATCATCTACTCCTTTCTCACTCTCATGGAGATGGTTCTTCAACCTCTGTTAGAGTGGTCTGTGCGAGTTCTACACAGATTACATGCTTCTTTGTTTCGCAGGATCCTTAGCTTACATGGTCTTTGATTTTTGGAGTTGCAGGATACCAATCTGGTACTCGGTGAAATTAGTATTTGTGGCATGGCTGGTTCTGCCACAGTTCAAAGGTGCAGCTTTCTTATATGAAAGATTCGTGAGGCAGCAAATTAAGAAATATGGTGGAGTAGAAAGCAAGTCTCCTGATTCCAAAGCCAAGAACCACAAATCCACATAATTAGTGAGTTTCCCTTTTATGTAACTCAGTTGCTTATTATTACAGTTGCCATTGTGCTCTGATAAGCTAACTCAGTTGCTTTTTTGAAAAGAAATTGTCATTTTCCACAAGTGCTCAAATGTGATGTGTCTATTTTTTGTGAATTTGATTAGGGAGGTAGCAGGAAGCTTGGTGAAGAAGGTATCTTAAAGAAGGATTGGTTACTTGGTGGTGGACCATCTGGATTTGACTTCTTTTGCCTCTTATTTTCGTTTGGATGTGAAAAAAGAAAAGTACTTGTAAATGCAACAACTCTACTTGTTCTAATTTTGTAAACGTGTCCCCTCCACAATTGTCATTACAATAACTCTAATTGATCGGATCCAACACTTGTCAACTCGTCATATTCGGCCAAATCTTCCATTGATATTTATAGAAAAAGATACCTGAATGCGACGGCTCAACTGACGCTTGTCCCAATCCAACAATAATGAACCAAAGGAATGTATTTATTTAGACACCTGCAAAATGCCAATCTTGGATAAATCAGCAATTTATATCTCTTTTCGTAACTTGAGAAACTAACCATAAGCATGTACATGATGTACAACATTCCACGGTAGAAGAGTCTGAGTTTGAAAGAATCAATAAATATGGAATGTCACAGTGCGGGTGGGTTGTAGCAATCTCAGCTTCGGCCCTTCGAGACCAGCTTCATTACCTTTTAATTTATCTCCTCCTCGTGGTGTTATAAAGAGCATCCCACCACAAGAATACCAATCTCCATCAGTTCATGGCCTTGGGCATCTCCTCTGACCACTTGAGCAGAGTAAAGCTTCCACCGCTGGATGCGGTGTCGATATCCACCAAAATGTCCCAACCATATGCATTTTTCATGTGAAATCTGCGGCTCGTCAAGCTCTTTTCAATTGTCACTCTTAATGGCGTTATGTAGCATAAATTCAGCTTTACAACCATAATCCCCAGTCCAAGATAACCTGTGATGATTGATACGAATGATTTTCTAAGCCGAAAAGCTGCATCTCAATACCCTTCTTCTCGCCATCAATTAAGGGGAAACGTCTATAGGGTCCATGTGGGTATGCTCTTCAGTTTGAACGGCATTCAAACACTTGAATCTTCTCAAAAGCAACCAAGCGTCGGACTCCAGACAACCTTCCTTCATCTCAAGGACTACTGGCAGAGAAGACGTTTTGTTCATCTCAACCAGCATTGTACCCTTTGATGAAACAAGATAATAAAGAATCATACTTCAATTAACTAGAGAGTACAATGACATGGCAAGTAAAAACTAAAGAAAAGGCATAATCTTTTCAAGTTTCTGGGGAGGAAGTGCATGAGCAATAACTGGAGGTGGAAAAACTGAATGCCACCAGACTACCTCAAAATTTACCAAGAAAACTTGGAACTGTCTCATGGTATCCTTCATACTGCTCGCTACTTGAACATCTGAAGACGATAGAGCATCTGTAACATCCTTAGGAGCATGGCCAATTTCTTTTTTCACAACCTACAAAGAGCATAAGAAACGATAAGATATTGTTCCCATGGACTAGGGTAAGCATATTAATATATGAAACCTGACTCACTTCGTGATCAATGAGAACCTCAGAAATGAGACTGCCATCATCAACATAAACATGTAGCTCGTATGTTGTCCTTTGCCTGAACTGAAATCCTTTTACACCAGTCAAAAAGCACTGCAAAGTACAAAGATTGTGTTTCCAATTTCAGTAACATAAAGAGACGATTAAATTCAATTTACATGCAATTTCATTTTCATTCATCGGGCACAACATAATTTAATATAAGCATGGTTGCAAGTACTTAAGTCAAAGGGTTAGGAACAAAAAAGTTTCTTTCCAATAATCATGCTTAGTATATTCAATGCTTCAAATACGTTGCCAGCCAAAGATGTAACTCCATGCTGCCGATTAAAGTTATGTCATCTCATCTACATACGGGATTCCCTTCACCCCTAAGCAGAGCTACTTGAGATTGACAGGAAATGAGATTGAACATTCATCTAAAACTGTTATAAGTTGATCATGGTCCAAGCTCCATTGCCCTATTACTAGTTACCTAACATATACTCAAATCTGATTGATAGATAAATAAAATTCTAAGCTTCAGTGATGAGCTTACAGCTTACAAACAAGAAAAGGCCACTGATTTCTTCCGTGAGAAACAGCAGCCAAGTGCTTAGGTACCTAGTAATGAAAGCATACATTTTTGCCTACCTTGATTCTTCCACAAACTGATGAAGATTTTTCCTTCACTGCTGCCCACTTAGCCGATAAACTAGCCAAGTACGTGAAAGGAATCTCTCTATCACCAGATAACATGAGTGGATGCTCAATATCAACCATATTGGTTTCCTCTACTGAATTGGACAAAATGGTAGGCTCGGTACTAGCTCTACTACTGGGAACATAATGTGAATGGATCTCCTCAACATTTGAAACAAGATTAGAAGACAGCTCAGAATTTGCATTTGTTCTGCTGACTGGAGTGGTAAATGCGTCACCAGCCGGAGCAGTAAGTGCTTCATTTCCCCTATGGAACATTTCAAGACCTGACAGTCAAATGAGCAATAGTGACCTCTTGAATTCTTGAGAGAAAAAAAGATAAAAACAAAGAAATACTGGAAGAATTCGCCATCTAGCAAAACAGAGCTCTTTTCAATCAGATGTTACATGAATTTCAAGACAAGGAGGGAGAGAGAGGGAGAGAGAGAGAGAGAGAGAGAGAGAGAGAGAGAGAGAGAGAGAGAGACGACCCTTGCATCCACTTGATAAACTTAGCCGGCTGCTAAGCTAGGGGCAAATATCAAATGCCTTGCGTAATTTTGCATTTTTAAGTTCAGATAATTATTGGGAGTCGTATTCAGTTAATTCTTCATTTCTACTTGACTATGAGATTTGCATTGGATTCTAGGAGGATTTGTTTTCTTTATAACTTCAAATATATAATGTATTGGTTTCAGAATGAATTGGGTATGAAACCTTTCAAGAGTGGACATGCATTTTCCTTCCTCTTCCATTTTCTACTTCTTTGGTTCTATCCCTGTTCTCCCCCAGTATAGTAATCAATAGTTGAAACAGAAAAGAGAATGGAAAAGGTACGTAATGAAAGAAAAAACTAGGCAACTTTGTCCAGCTCAAGCAAAAGCGTAGCTATTAGATCTCTAAAGTCCATGAATCTGACAGACTGAACATAAATGTTGTTGTCAATGTAAAGGATCTTATTATAATATTTTTGTCAGGAGTGAAAGGAAAGGAAGATAATAACCACAAGAGTACCTTGGTCTGAATAAGGGGGTTCCGTGCTCACTATTCTGTTAGGTTGCACTGGCCTTTGGACAGCGTCTGATGGCCATGCAGCATGTGTTGCTCTACTTGCCAAAGGAGGAACCACACCTGTCCTCGTTCTGATAAAATATTTAAAACTTCAATTATACAAAAAACAGTGAATATCATGCCATAATAAGCTCATGTGAAGAGGACGACCAAGAGAGATCAAGTCCACCATGAAGTACAGTTTATGGTGCATGCGTGAAGTCTATAAGTAAAATCGATTTTAAAGGATAAAAGAACGTGTTTGGAACGGGGGAAACAGACATCATCCATGAACGTGGACTATGAAAATTGTACAGTGGATACTAACAAAGAAAGGTATGGATGAAAACTATGTACTCTTGACATTAACAATACCTTCTTCCCCTAGGTGGCTTGTTCACTTCATCAACCAGCCGCCGCCGAGCTGCCTCCAGCTCCTCAACCAGGCCTCCTAGAACCTCTAAAGCTTCAGGAACTAGCATTAGAAGCCCGTGCCGAACGCTTGCATTACAGATGACTACCTGTAGAAAAGCAATAAATAATCGATCCCCATCATCAACGAACCAAGTATTTTTGAAGCATGGACCTAGTTGGAAAAAGGTGAAAGTCATTAATCCATGAGTGAGAAAATTAAGAAACCTTCAACCCAGCAGGTGCTAAAACTTCAAGATCCTTAATAGGCCTGTATTCCATGCCAAAAACGCGTTGAACACCATCCGTCATGGACACCTTAAGGCACCTCTTAATACTCGCGGGAGCTGTCTGATATCTACCTCTAAGAGGACAACTGATGTTAACTATTTCATCGACCTGAAAAGCAAAAAAACTCAGCGAGGACTCTTTAACTGCGGCTAGCTCATGTAGCAGGTCATTCTTACTCTTGATCTTTGGAATTTCGTTTGCGAACCCAAAACTTACAGTGGAAAAATAAAATGCAAGAAAATTAATTTATGGCGATGAATTCAAGGACACGGCACAATAAGAATAACCTGCAATACGTACGGCCCGGGGAGGTCAACGAGATGCATAGAATCAACATTTTCAGGTAGGACACCAGCACCCGAATAATTCATATCAGAAACTAAAAACTGCTCGAAACACAGCTTCCCTTTCTCCGTCGGGTTGAGGCTCAAAAAGCCTGGTATAGACCCTTCTAGGGCACGGGTACAAGCATCCAACCACTCTCTCTTCAAGCTCAAACCAAGTCTACGAAGGAAGTCGGTTACAGGACACGATGACTCGCTGGAAGCGACGCGATAACTAAGCGGATTCGCCTCAGGCGAGTGGCGGAGGGAGTGGTCGGAATCCGGAGAAGGAGGCGAGAGATGGTCGGAGACGTCGATGAAATCTTGTTCGTCGTCGTCGGAAAGTTGGACTGGCTCAGAGACATTGGGATTAAAATTAGAGTTGAGATTGTCGAGAATGAGAGGCTGAAGAGAGGCGGTGGAGGAATCGGGGCATTGAGGGCCGCGTTCGTAGTCTTCGTTTTCTTGGTCTTCCGCTTCGTCGGAAGACCAGCTCAGTCGTAGGCGCCTTCTGGGCATTGTTGCTTCAGTAAGAAATTAGGGCCTTCGAATTCCTTCTTCCCTCCAATTTGTCCGTACAGTTTTGGGCAGGAGACTGAAAGAAAGACCTGTATGCCGTTATTCTATTCTCTATTGGCGACTCACTTACCATTTCAGTAAATAAACAGTTTACCAAGCCTCTCTCTGCTTTGCATTGCAATTTGCAACATTGATTCATCGTCACTAGTTTTTTTTTTTTTTTGAAGGAACATCATCACTTGTTTATTACAAACAAATTATAATTGTAATATATTTAGTAAAATTAGATAAGCTTTGGTAAGAACGATGGTACAACGATTCCTAATCGAACCACGTCCACAACACAAGTGATTTTTACTTCTTCAACATTTTGTTTTTCTTCTTCCAAAACCAGGTCTAGATCCAAAATTTGAAACATATTTGAAGAACTTTCTTCCTCCTTATTTTTGTTTCTCTTGTCCAAGCTATTGTCAATTCTAATAATCTCAAGGGGTGCACGTCCAGATAGGGTGTTTTTTGAAAAGCAACCGGCGTAGATACGATTTAACATCGAGATCATGTCGAAATGTCTTTCAAAGGCAATGGTTCTTCCACCGTGATTTTTCAAATCTTGTTTCTATTCTTGCAACCTTAAATAGAAAGACACCTTGGGATGAAAAGTGAATAGTTCATCTAAAAAGAACTGTTAGGCAATTGATATAAAACTGTGGTTATCAACGTGACCTTGTAAATATCCATATCTTAGTTAGCAAGCCGAATTCTATCACATCACCAGATATCAGGCATGGAAGGAAGTTTCGCATGAGTTAAGATACAACCCTTAATATTTTCCCTTTCTACATTGCTGATTGCGTTGAGTAACACCATTTGAAACAGACTATGTATAAATACATGAATTCTTGTCAAGATCTCACAGAAGGATGATCCTTCCACCGAGATATACCAAGATTAAATGCGGATTGCAAGACACTAACCCGCTCCGTCAACAGTTTATCTTCGAGCTCCTCGATCACAGGGTATTCTGCTTCCATAATCAGCTCGAGATCTTCAAAATGCTTAATTTTGCGTTGTAACTTTTTCATCTATTGACAATTAATTAAACAACAAATAAACAGTAATCACTTGGCGACCAATGACGATGCTCAACTGGAACTTTAAAGTTTTGATCCACAGACTAATAGGAGTATGTAGTTCAGAGAATGGTTAACCTGTGTTTCCATCATGATCGCCAATAAATATTCAATTTCTCTCTCTTCTTGATCAGCAAGTAATTTTGCATGTGCAGCAGCGGCGCCAAGTGCTGTTGCAATTGCAGCTCTAATTCGTAAGATTAAAGGTATGTCATCTTTGTCCACGGACATTGTATCACCTAAAAGGAAAGAACAGATAGCAAAGGTTAAAAGGCGAGAAAAATTACGACCCAAAATGCTTATAACCATAAAACAAAAAGTGAAGCTAGTGCGTGTCAGGGCCAACTTGCATTGAGACGACCGCTTAACCCAAACTACATTTGTTTGTCAATGTAACTTTTGTAGGATATTAAATCCTAGGTAAGTGGACACACCATGGTTTGAGCTCATTTCCTCTAAGCCATTTATTATTTATATTGGTCCCACTGGACTAAACCATAATAGTTAAAAATGAAGCTAATATTGACACCTAATTAATCCACATCAACAAAGCAAACAATCCTATTTGTTCGGCAGGGGATAGACCAAGAAGCGAGACAGTTGGCAGCAGAATTTCATTACTGCAGACAAGTAGTTTTTCTACTATATGAAATCATGGTCCGACAACATACAAAAATATGCATAATCCACCGTATGTTCGAGTTTGTACCAAGTACCTGACTGAGCGGGCCTTTCCTTTGCCAGTGGATCTTCATTATTGAGAATTCTAAGGAAGAAAGTTAAAAATAAATTCGTCTCCAACGTCAAAAATTTAATTGGCAGAGCATGAGAAGTAGAAACAAATAATTCTAACCTCTCAGCCTCATGATTTGATGTGGCGGAAGCTGCAGGACAAAATCCATTAGGTGCAAAAAACTCTTCACCATCAAAGGTTTCTTTTGGATATAAGTTTTCATCACGAAGTGCAGTAACAGAAGCAGTAGCAGCTGCTGCCATAATATGTGGTCCAACCATGCTTGACATCAAAGCTACCTAATAGCAAATGAAAATTGTTTATATACAAAGAATGGAGTTCTTTAAAATGTATTTGTTCGAAAGGATAGCTAATAACACATGCTACATAAATCCTACCTGTGTCATTAGAGAACTACTCGTATCTGGAACCGCAGCTATACACTGTCTCTTGGAAGGACCTTGGTTTTGGTTCTTATCATCATCGTCCTCATTCATGTCCTTGGTACATTGATCTTCACTTCCGACAGTCTCCTGATTATTGGGTGGAGAGAGTCTACTTTCTTTTTCACTACTGACATTGTTACTGGGGCCATTAACATCATTCCTTTGTGCTTCAACACATAACATGAAGTTCCCATAAGGCAACTCAAGGAGCTTCAGTATACAATCTAGTTTAGTCTTGGTTTGGATATTTTGAGCAACAAGCTCCCAGTCATCTCCATGCTTCAAAACGGATTCCAAAAGAAGCAGAGTTTCTGCCTCAGTCCACACGGCTCCAGTATTACCATTGTCTTCAATGGGCTCGTTGGACTTCAACTCAAAATCTTCCAAATGCCTCTGCTCCCCATAATTTCCATTATTGAAGCAATTTACACAAATTAAATAGCCATCCTGCGTACATGAAGACTAGAGTTAGATACTCATCAAAATCAAGTTGTGGAATGATTGAAATGAGATTTGTAAATAGATATGTTGTGAATTATTCATTCACATGATAACATGAAAGTACCTTGGCGCATTGATGATATCTAGAATCACAATGCTGGCCACAATTCCCACACACAAAATTCTTCTGTTTCAACAAGTCACTGAAGACATCTGAATAAGAAGCCAAAGGCGGCAATCTAAACCCAATCCCATTAACAAGCGCACTGTCTTCCATAACAGGTGGTGCTGAAATTGGTTTGACCGAATTCGGCATTGCTCCCACACGAATCCCATTTGGGACCCCCTCTTCAATCTTAATTGTAGAACTCTCTCCATCTTCCACCTCCGCCAAATTATCGCCATCCGAAGTTGCGCCAAAGTTGATTAACCCCCACGTCTCCAAGAAAACAAACACCTTATGAAGCAAATTAACATCCCCCACCAAAGACTTTCGAACCTCGGTGAACGTAAGCCTGCTCGAAGGCTCTTCTCTGTACTTATTGATAATAAAATCCCTATATTCTTTATATATTCGCGGTGTCCTTGATATTGAGCTTCCATCAAAAAAATCCTTCAAAGCCGATTTCTCCGTTTCGTGAATTTCATCCCACGAAAACCAACCTGAGGAAGAACAATCAAATGAACATTCAATATTATTTTAAACGACTTTCCTGTCTGTACAACCCGACACAAATCATACAAATTCCCGTTCTTTCTTTCTTCGATTCCCAAAACGAGCCTCGACGGGAGAGGATTTGGGCGGTTTCTAGGGTTAGGGTATTGGACGGAAAATGGAAAGAATGAAAAGGAAGGGGGAGAGACACTTACTAGAGTGACTTGGAATGGTGTAGAGGTCGAGCTCTGGTTCATCTGGAACTCGTCTATAACTGGGTTCCCGCTGTGAGGTGTCCATCGCGAACCGCGCGGTGAGCTTAATCGAGTCCGACGTAGTTATTAGTATTACTGCGACATAAGAGAGAATTTCAAACAAACGTTGTACGTTACCTGCCGTTGACGTAATTATATCACCGTCCAATTATGTACTGACCTGGCTCTGGCTGGTAGCACTTATTGCGGGCTTTGTTAATGGACTCTAGTTGAGCCCACAATCGTCTGACTTCCTTTACTCGTTGGGCTCTCTTCCACGTGATTTTGAATTTAATTTTCATCGATTGCGACAAAACAAATAATTTGTCATGGTTTCCGTTTTATAGAAAAACACAAAACATAAGGAAGTTATCAAATATATTTGATTTTTTGTTTTTTAGAAAATAAAACACTGAAGGTAATTATTAAACCTGATTGGTTTTTGTTATAAAGAAAAACATGAAACTAATAGCCGAAAATGGAAATGTCACTCGATGGGACTGTATCAATATTGAAAGTTTATTTAAAAAAACTAGATTGTGCTTGTTTATCTTCGGAATGTTTTTATTTTCATTTTTCTTCTAGCCTGTGGGATTTACAGTGCCTTTGAATTGGCGGTTTTTTTCCTCTTCGAGACGTCCAATTCCCCAATTTATTTTATTTTAATAAATTATACGATACTAAACAACATTAAGAAATATAATACATCCTTATACTCCACGGCTGAAAACCAATAATTATTGATTTTGAGAGCATGTTCGAAGTGTTTACTTTGCAAGTTATCAAATTATGGAGCCTTTCTACGTGTTCGAATGAGACTCACTATATCAAGTTTATGATGCGAAGAGCTTTACTAGTGAGAGTTTTTATACCTGTTTGTCGATTATATTAATAAGACACACACAAGTCATGTAATGCTTAACAGAGTGAAAGAAACATCATCTTAGTATTTGTCACTCCACATGTCTAAAAATAAAAAAGACCATAATCATTTAAGGTACACCATTCCTCCAAGTCATTAATTTCCTGTATCCTCATAAATTTATATTATAATTTAAACATTGAAGTGTTGGTAGTTATTTTCACTAAGTTATCTTTACCTTCAAAAATCAAATCAGAGTATTTTATGCTTGCTATTTTTATAGCATATTATTTATGAATAGTTAATTAAAAATTTAAAACTTACAATATTTTAATTATAGCATTTTTTGAAAATAACCGAAGGTATTAAAGCGAATAAGTCATTTTAAAATATATAAAAAAAAAGATAGCTAATTACATAATTAGAGCCATAAGATGTGGCTCCGACTTACTAGCGTCAATTAAAAATGTAATAATTTATGGGGAAACGTGAAGTATACACGTGGCTAACGCAGATATATCGGATTGTGCTCATCTCGGGAAAGAGAAATACGCCTGTTTGTTTTTTGATAAAAATAAAAAAAGAAAAGAAAAGAAAGTAAATTGGTGCGGAGGGTGGGGGTGTGATTGCCGGGAAAGAAGCAGAGGGATAAAAACCCAAAAGCAGAGCGCGAGCCCGCTAACATTTTTGTTTTTGGCATCAAAATTTTGAAACCCCGCCTTCTTCTCACCCTCACCGCGCCCTACTTGGATTTCATTTGCCACTCCTAAAGAAACCAAATTCCCGATCCCATCTCTGCTTCTACGCACTTTCACTCCAAAACTCCCAACTCTGCTACTAATTCCATTCTTTCCCCATACTCTTTCTAGGGTTTCTCTCCAATTCCCTGTATTCCACCTTCCACAGTTTGTGTTTTCTACTCCTGTTCCAATAATTGCGAGCTTTTGTCTTGTTTGCGATTTCTATGGCGTCTGAAAACCTAGAAGACAAGAAAGCAGAGGACGAAGCTCCTGTCGAGGAGAATAAGGAGCTCGAAGAAAAGCAAGATGGTACAGAAGAAGATACTTCCGAAGGCCAGGAACCGGGAAAAGAAGAGACCGACTTAGGAAACCAGGAAGTAGCCGAGAAAAAAGTTGGTAGTGCAGAAGGCGATCCCGAAGAGGGAAATGGTGATGCTAAAGCCGAGAAGAGTAAGGAGGAGGCGGAGCAGAAAGGCGGGCCAGAAATTCAAGAAGTGGCTGAGGAGCAGGGCACAGTTGCAAAGGACGAATCCAACGAAGCCAGCGTAGATGAGGAAGACGAAGGAGATAACGATGCTGAAAGTGAAGGCGAAGGTGAAAGCGCAGGTGAACCCGAAGGAAGCGAGGAAGCGAAGAAGGGACCGAAGGGAGATGCAAAGAAGGATAGAAGGGCGTCTGTGAAATCAAGGAAAGATTCTGCAGAGAAGAAAGGYAAAAAAGATTATAGTTTGAAGGAGCCGCTCACGCCATCCATTGAGCGGCCAACTAGGGAGAGAAAGACTGTCGAGCGGTTTTCCGTGACATCGCCAGGCAGGTTGGTGAGGTCTTCTGCAAGCAAAGGTATATCAATTGAGAAGGTAGGTTGGTGGTTCTTTGTATGTTTTCTTGATGTCCAGAGTAACTTTTTTCTTGAAACTGTGCTTCTTGTGTCTCAGGGCCCCGGTACTAAGCTCAAGGATATTCCAAATGGTATGTTTAGATTTTCATGTAATGTTTTCCTTTCGAATCTGGATAAATGCTCTTCTTTCTTTAGTATTTGACGTGGGCTATTCATGTTGCTTGCCGCTCTCATAATCATGAATATGTCAATTGTCGCTTCTTCATCTAGTCCTTGTTGTGGCCAATGCTTTTGCCAAATTTTTCATTTTACCTTTTTCATGCTGTCTGTTAATCTGCTCCACAGTCCAGTGCAGGTGGACATATGCTATTATATTTAACATTCTCTTACTCTATTTTTAATTCTGGTTYGTGTTTTTCTTATTCATTTAATCATTAAATTATTCTGCCTGTTGAACTGAATTCTGCTGTTTACCTCAGCTCTTATCTCATATTGCCCAAAGTTTGATTTTCAGTTGTGATACTGCTAAAGCAGCACATCTAAATAATAGATTATAGGATATTTCATGAGTAGGCTTGTTAATGTAAAAGTTGTTTGCAGAGGTGAAAGTACTTAGAAATTTGAAATTGTAACGATTAGCCACCACAGGTTGGACAAATAGTAATATTCAATTTTTTGAAAGACCACTGGTTAAGTCTTGGTAGCCACGAAGCTTGCTAGTATCATAGGAGTTTCCATGCATTAGATATAGTAGTGTAGTTAGATAGTGGTTTTGTGACAGCTATATTGGTCAAGTTGTGTAAAGGTAAACTAATCGAGTACCTTGATACTATAGCGATCAAAAGAGAAAATTGTTACCACTGGCATGAGTTTCTCATATACCCCACAGCCAAAAGCCAATTTTTATGATCTAATATATGTAGATGGACATCTGCTATAGTGCTATCTCAATGCCAGTTGAGTTGAATTGTTAGTTTAATTTTGAGGATGAATTTAAGATGTCATATTAAAATGAAATGTGTTGTCTGCAGTGTTTCTAGGCTTTTGTTCAGTTCCAAGCGTTTTGTATTTTGTATGCTTAAAATGGCGCACTGGTTCATCTATTATTTGTATTTGTGATTTACCAGTCTTACTGTGCCTGGTCTGATTTTGTAATAATCTGTCTTGCTTAGAGTGAATTGCATATTGATGTGCAGGACTTCAAAACTAATGCTGTCTTGAATTACTCTTGTAGACCTGCTTTGATTTTTTAAATACCTATTCAATTTAGCTAACAATGAAAACCTTTGTAGTGGCTTTCAAACTGTCGAAGAGAAAAGCTGATGACAAT